ATTTTATTTTTTAAATGTTGTGTGTGTTTTTTTTTAATCTTTATAATAAAGGATGTTGTGGCATTAATTGTAACATTAATTATTTCCCAAACCATATAGCTTTATTATATAAAGGATAAATTAAGAAAATATATATGAACACATCTTACATGTAACGGGGAATATCATATCTAGGATTATGAATTCCGAGATTTTGCATCATTGTGTGTTTCGATGAATTGACTTTCTTTTTTTACTCCGTGGAATGATGGTTTGTTATTTCTGACACTGGATGACGTGTTATTCACAAATTAAATAACTAATATGAGTCATTTTTTTAAAGGGATAAATGTGATGTAAATGCCAAAAAAAATAGTGGAGTAAAAATGTGATTTTCTTATAAATAAATATCTACTTTCAGTGTGTTGAAGTCGTATATTTGGTGTACTACATGTCACATATGGCCATATGGGCCGCTTGATATTTTTATTTTCATCTTTTTGCCTTATTGAATATATTAAAAATTACTCCGTATGTAATACATCATACTTGTCACATTAATCCTTCGAATATTTTGGACTTTAAGGTGTACTTTCAGACATATTTAAATTCCTTATCTTTTTATCCCAAAAAGCTGAATCATGACTCAATGTGTTAGTAGACAGGACCGATGCGCACAAGGAATCTGCCCACTTTGGACATATATAATTCCCACATTACCACCGCCAAAGTTCAAACATTGGTCTCTTACCTCAAATACTGTCCACTAAACCATTAAGCTAAGTCCATGCGAGTAATTCCTTATCTTCTAGTAGACCAATCCATTGGCTTGATGGTGAGTGGAAATTCATGCATATACAAGAACATAGTAAAATTGCTTTTTCTTTTTCCTTTATTGGTGGAATGTATTTGGCAAATTTTAACACCACATAAAAATGAATACAAAATTTAGTATTGGGTCATTAGCAAACACGTTTAACACATTAAAATTTAATATTTTAATATTTTTTATTTAGGGGTGTATTCAATCATGATTTTTATAGAGTTTTAAAGACTTATGAACTTTAAAAGTTGTTTTCTAAAAGAACAAGTATGTGGAATACTCTACGAAATATGGAAGGCCCGGAACATGGCGGTATGGGACCTTGCTTTGCCTACCCCGACGCAGCTATGTGCTTCTTTTCATCGTGCCTGGGCCGTTTGGAGCAGTTCCAAAGGCCACGGCAGTGTCACGCCGGGACCAAGCAGTGTGGCTGCTTTGCCGCAACCGGCGCATGGAGTACTGCATTTCGTACCGCTCCAAGCTGCCGCATCCCTCCCCCAAGACGCTGTGTTATGTAGTACGGACGCGGGGTTTTATGGACCCCAACACGCCCCAACATTCGGTTTCTACGTACGCAACCCGGAAGGTGTTTTTATAGCAGCGGTAAATGGTCCTCTCTCTTGTCCATATGATCCTCTTCTAGCTGAAGCGATGGCAATACGTGAGGCTCTCTCATGGCTTCAGGACCACAATTATCACAATATTGTTATCTTGACGGACTGCGCAGTTCTCGTGGATAACTTTCGGGACGTCAGTTCTTATCATTCGTACCTTGGCATTATTTTAGATTCATGTTTACGTTTGTTTAATTCGTTCCCAGTTCATTCAATTCAGTTTGTACGCAGAGGCACCAATCTGGTGGCTCATGCCTTAGCTAAACATGTAAGGGCGGTTCATGAACGTTCAGTCTGGACCGAGTCCCTCCCATCTTTTATTCCTTTGGAGTTGAGTTAATGCAATATATGAAGTTTTTGGTTTTCAAAAAAAAAAAAATGAACTTTAAAAGTTTGGAGGTATTAATTCAAACTTTTAGTGAGTCTTTAAAAGTCAGACGGTATTCAATCAAGATTTTTAAAGAGTCTTTAAAAGTTGTGTGGTATTCGATTAAGACTTTTAAAGAGTCTTTAAAAGTCATGTGGTATTAAAAAAGTTATAAACTTTTGTAGACTTTTTATTTTTAAGACTTTTGTATACTTTTCCTCCTCAAATATAAATAGGTGAAATCCAACCATCAACCCCAAGATTTCAAATTTTTTTCTAACAACTTTGAATGTTTTCTCTCTCTATTTAAACTCTATTTCTCTCCCTATTTAAACTCTATAAACCTATCTAAATTTAATAAAATTATTTTTTCTTCATTACCCTATATTTTCCTCATACCTAAACTCTACCCTATATTTTCTCTCTCTCTCTCTCCTAAACTTTAGAATCTTCATCTAAAAATTCGTAATAATATTATTTTTACTTCATTATTGCTTGTTTATATTGATTTTTATTTTTATTTTTCTATGAATTTTTTATCCCTAACTTTCTCTAATTCTCCCTAAATGCATGAACACAGCAAATTTTTCATCGTCAAATTTTTATATGTTTCATAATATTCATATAAATACTTATATATTTTTTATTTTTATTCTTTTTATGTTTATATTTGTAATATATATTTTTCCTTTTTTTTTTAACATGTTACTACGAATAACGAATTACTGTTTGCAACAACAATTTGGGGTTGCAAACAGTAGCACTTTGTTGTTATTTGCAGTCTTAAATTGCTATTGCAAATAATAGTTCTTTGTGTGATGCCTAGCAATATATCAAGTATAATTTATATATATATTATTAATATTAGATTTTTATTTTTTTTATTTTATGGAACTTGTAATTATATTTTTAAATATTTTATTTTGATCAAGTCTTTTATTATAAATTTTATTGTTCAATATTGTTATGAATTTCTAATGAAATAGTTTTTTTTTTGTTGATGTTTATTAATAATATATTGGTAGGATATATCCCGACCGACATGGCTCGGTTATCTTGTTCTTTGTGCAAGTTTAACAGGTCGGATATTCTTATAGAAGACGGTCGGACCCGACCGCGCATAGAATAACCTATAATGGAGTTGAAGTTTTAAGGTTATCATGTCATGGAAGTGGTTAGTACATGATGGCAATAATGCACAACTTTTGACCCACCAATTCCAGCAATCATACTTCCCTAATTCACAAAGAGGATAAAAAGTAGACATAGGCCCTGTTTGGTAAAAAATTGGTCTATAGATCAATTTTGACTTATTTGACCACTATTAATTGTTTGATTTAGTTAAAATATTAATATAAATGTTTGGTTAATTAATTTTTTGCAACTCCAAAAGGCTAAAATTCAAAAAGCTACTCCAAACAACTTTTTCAATTAGCTTTTTGAGAAAAAAAAATTATACCAAACAGCTATCAGCTAACAGCTAATTTACCAAACAGTTTTCTACACTCAACTAATGCTATTAACTATTTATACTCTCTAATTAACACAATCAGCTAACAGCTAACAACCATTTTCCCAAACAAGGCCATATACTTTTCAAGTTGGGCCAATGATAAATAAAAACACCATTTCAATAATGATGATATGATAATACATTTTTTTTATAGATCTATTTGGTTTGTGTGACACGCACTACTATTCCCTATATATATTATATGTTTAACGTTATATTACTTGTGTTATGTAAACTTTATTGAGTTAATAATTCTTTAATTTTCATTAAGCTTTTTTCTTAGTCTTCTTTTGTTTCCAATTATAATAATAATAATAATAATAATAATAATAATAATAATAATAATAATAATAATAATAATAATAATAATAACAACAACGTTAACTTAGTTTTCTACCCTTATTTTAGAGAGTGAAATTAAATATTTAAATCTTAAAAAAAAAAAAAAAAAAAAAAAAGGAGGAGCACGCATATAGCACCAATATCATAAGATTATTGGAAGTTTATTTACAGTTTTTTAGGATTGATTGCTTACATGACGGAGAGAGAGGCAAGGGAGAGAGGGACAGCTCTACCTGCAAGGTTAAGTTATTTTTCTTCCCAAGGAAAGAGAAATAAATGGAGGCCATGGGCTGATGTGCGTATTTCACGCACAGCAGAAGCCACACGGGCGCATGCAGTGCACGCGTCCGATGGTGTGTCAGGCGCGCCAGATAGTCCCTTTTTTATATATATATTTTTTTTTAAAAAAAGTTTTTTTTTTTTCTTTTTTCTTTTTTCATTACCCTCCATTATTCTCTTGCCTAATCACACTTTAAAAGACTCCTCAAAAATCACAAAATATCTCTACTATATATATATATATATATATATATATATATATATATATTCTTCGGGGACAGGTAGGGGTGGGGAATGCCTTCCGGGGATGGGAAAATTCTCCCCGCCCCCGTTCTCCGAAAAAATTTCCCGAACCCGCCCTCGTCGGGACGGGGATCGGTTTTCTCCGTTAGGGGCGGGTTGAATTGCCATCTCTAAATCAAAGAAAGTAAGAGAATTAATCAAGCGATTCTCCCAAATCTTCCTAGCTTTTCTTCTTTCTTCCCGAGGCAATTTGTAGCTCTTGATCTCCTCTTTCTTGTCTCCAAAACACATATTTATCCCCTAGGGTTGAGAGAAGATGAGTTTTTTTTTATAGAGGGAGCCAAGCGGGGGCAAAATAGAAAATTTTCGCACAAAACATTCCAAAATCTCGCCCAGCCAATTCGACATCTCAACGCGTCGAGTTAGACGTCTTTTTTCCGGAACGCTCTCTGGAAACTTTCAATGCGTCGAGTCCTCTACTATTCTTCGGAATCGGGCTGTGGAACTTCTCGATGCGTCGAGTCTTCGACGGTTACCACCATTCGGCTACTGGATTATTTCGACGCTGATTCTCGACGTGTCGAATCTTCTGTAACAACACCATTCAGTCCATTTGACTCCAAACTTGTCTTAGAACTTTCATTGCTTTTGTATTTGATCTACAATAGTTTCAAAACACTAACAAACACCGTAAAACATTCAAAATAAGTGTAAAATCATATCTTAATAAGAAAACAAGTGAATATGCATTTAAATTATCAATTTAATGAACTTAATCCCACAAATAGATTCAAACAAACAAGAGAAACATGGCTCACATCATACTTGTAGGAAACCATGTTTCAGCTGCAAATTGTTATCTTCATTTCAACTTCAGACCAAATTATTCTTAAAACATACATAAATAGTATTTGAACATGCTGTTTGGAACAGGAAACTAATAACTGTAGTTTAGTTAAGGAGATTGCAGAACTTCTTGGCGCATTCTACACTTCCACTAAGTATCATCTTATAGTCATATTTGTACTCAAATCCTGCTTCTTCCAACTTTCTTGAACCCCACTTTGTCTCCCTCATTGAATCCTCAATGAACCTGGCACAAAAACACACATTCAAATCATCAAATTCAAACCTTTTAATCTCCAACTTGGCACCTATAACAGTACGGTAACATAGTACTTACTCTTGAGGGATGGTAATGAGGGGGGAATGATTCTGATAGTAAGAGGCAATCTCGACGGATTTTAGGTACCAGTTAGCACATAGAAACCTGCCATTGATGTCCGAATTCTCGATGCAGAAAATATGTGCTGCAGTTACATCTTGTATATGTACAAGTGGAACTTTTGACATCAATTCCTCTAAAAACCTCAGCATTTCATACCTATTCTTGTCCCTTGCAACCTGTGAGACGATCAACCCCACGCTTTCAGGTATCACAGATTGAAGTGTCTCGCGGCCTCCAACTAGGCCACAAGCAAGAGACACCACTTGTATCCCTTTCCCATTGTAACTCAGCACTTCTTTCTCTGCTGCTGCCTTTGAATGCACGTAGTTCTGCAAATAGAGCATCAACAGAATTACTGCACCCAGAAATATAATCAAGAAAACTATTTTTTTTTTTTTTTTAAAAAGCTGCAGATGCATACAACATCCATACATACATACCACAAGCAAATCAATGGGGTAAGGGATTGGGAAATTGGAAGGAGTCCAACAAGTTTCGTCCATGGAGTCCTTGAAACTGGTAGCGTCTTCGTGGCTCAGTGGAGCTGCAGCCATGACACTGGCAGTGTAGATGAGCTTCTTCACAGTTCTTGCTCTTATACATGCATCCACAATACTCCTCACCCCATCCACTGCTGCCTCCGATGTGTTCTTGTACTACAGACATGAGACAACATATAGTATGTCATATGTTGAACTAACATTTCTCTAAAATTAAAATATTTTGATCCATGAAATTGCAAATATAATTTGTAGACAGCTCCAAAATCTGTTGGAAAAAATAGCTTAAAATTGTATAAAATGGCATATTAAGTGGCTATTTTGTGATACAATTATCAGTGGGGTCTACTTTCGATTTGGGTCGGGTCAAAGTAGATTCGGATTCTTCGTAGTGATACAAAGAGATTGATATATTGTACACTCAAAAAGGATAATGAGTGAATGAGATATTGATTCTCAAAGTAGACCCATTGAGTTAGAAAAATGAGAGGAAAGGTGAGCTTTTGTCCCACGTTGGTTTGGGAAGAGGATTTGCCCCACTATTTATACAAGAATCTTTTAGAAACCTAATGAATGTATAGTATAGAGGCTCTCTCTCGCGCGCAGAGGGTGTAAATCAAATTCCAAACTAAGATCGAAAAGGCGTCGTCATTCGTTACAGAATTAATTTCTACTTAAATTGGTGACATAAAATGTGGTACAAAGTGAGCTTTTGTCCCACGTTGGTTTGGAAAGAGGATTTGCCTCACTATTTATACAAAAGTCTTTTAGAGACTTATTGAATGTATAGCATAGATGCTCTCTTTCTTGCGCAAGGTTGAAAGTTGGCTGTGGATCTTTCCTTCCCTATCTGCCTCAAACAGTTTCAGATTTGTTTCTGCACCAGGAAGTCCTTTGAGAAGCCCTACCTTGGTGGAATCACCTATACATTTTACTCCCAAAAAAATCAGATTTTTAGACCACATTAAAGAAGCAAGATAGCCATTAATGGAGGGTATTTCTTTCACCTAAATTCCTGAGAGTGGCATGCACTGTATAGCCTCTGCTCAACAAGGTTTTGATGAGAAAAGAGGCCAGGTAACCTGCACCTCCAGTCACACAAACATGCATCATCTTCTTCTTCTTATCCCTCTCGAGTGTGGAGAAATGTATGGGTGACTGTAAGGTTAGATATTCATCATTTCATCGTGTTAAAGAGTAGTGATCCTAGTGGACTAGGAATATAATAAGCAGACTTTTCCACCATTAAAAAAATCAACTTTGTGGGCTAGGTTGGGGTGGAATTTAAATCAATTGTGACTTTTCCACCGTTAAAAAAATCAACTTTGTGGGCTAGGTTTGGGTGGAACTTAAATCAAGTGTCAATATATATATATATATATATATATATATATATATATATAAAAGTAAGTTCCTACAGTGCGCTTAAGTGTCTTCCGTGCAGTTGTGCAGTGAGTAATGTTCGTGAGTTTTGTGCTTAATGTGAGTAGTTGTTGAAACTTAAGTGCCTATGTTTTGTGCTTAATTAACGTGCATGAGGTTTGTACTTAAGTTGCGTGGGTTTGTGTTATTAAGGTGTTTTGTTTATGTGCTTAATGTGCGTGTGTTGTGTATTTAAAGTGCGTCAGTTTAATGCTTAATGTGCGTCCACCCGCACAACCGCACGAGAAGCCCTTCTCACACCTGATCCCTTCCATATATATATATATATATATATATATATATATATATATATATATATATATATATATATACACTAATAAGAGAGTTAGGCCTATAATGGGTAGAAAAAATGGCGGTCACAGATTTTAATCAAACGAATGTCTTAGATTGATTAAAAGATTGATCAGATTTGAATTTTACACTAAAATTTCCTAAAATACCCACACACCGTTACTAATTCCGTTAAAATTTTAAGAATTGCCGTTAGTTCACCGTTAACTTACTCATTGATTTCAATAAAAAAAGGTCTTAGGTTCGAACCTCATCCCAATCAAAGTTGGCATAATTAGTACTCTATTTTACTCTTATTAAATTATATAAATAATAATTTAGTAGTTACAACAAAAAATAATACATATGCATTTCTTTAATTTAGAATTATGTGTCCACAATATCTTTATTCAAAAAAAAAATTATTCATTATCAATAAATTAAATAAGATAAATAATTTTATTAGTTATATTGTCTTTATTTTTTTCAATATAAAAATTCTTTATATTCAAATTTATTAATTGATTATATTCGCTACATTATCCTTACAATGTCTTTATTCAGTGAAAAACAAATTATTAATTATCAATAAATTAATTAAAAGAAATATTTTCATTAGTTATATTGTCGTTATTTTTCTCAAATGTAAAAATTTTTACATTCAAATTCATCAATTGATTATATTCACTACATTATCTATTATCTTTTTTGTGCACTATTTTTCTAATTAAATATCAAAGTTATAACATAAAATAATGCTATGTATTTATTTACCAAGTATTTTATTAATACCATGAAAAAATTTAAAAAATATAATTAATAAAGCCAACCATATTAACTACTTTGAGAGATTTTGTGACAAAGAGAGTATTCAAATCACACAACAAATTGAAGTGAGAACTACCTCGCAATGTCCTTGTTTGACAATCAGCAGTTAGCGGTTAGCGTTAGCGGATTTGACCAGCGAATTTATTTAATTATTAACATTGGGTAGAAAAAATGACCGCCAAATTATTAAATCAAATGAATGGTTCATATTGTTCAGGTTTTAATTTTTTTCTTTTAAGATTTTCTAATTTATCCTTAATTATATGATTATCCATTTAACTTTTCCGTTAATTCACCGTTAGTCTAATTCTAATATTAAAGTCTAATATAGAATTATAACTACACATTTATCTAATTCTAATATTAAAGTCTTAATAGAACTTAACCACAAATCCTAATGTCAGAATCTCCTCAAACAATATTAGTATATATTTAATATTTTATGTCCTAATTTTTATTTGTTCTCCCTTATGTCCCTATTTGGTTTCAACCATACATATACAATTATTTTATTGCATTTGTAAACTTAGAATTACCTATTTAACCCGCACGGGCTTAGCTCAATGGTTTAGTGGGTAGTATTTGGGAGAAGAGACCAAGGTTTGAACCTCGGCGGCGGCAATGCGGGAATTATGTCCAAAGTTGGCAGATCCCTTGTGTGTATCAGCATTTGGCCCTGTCTGCTGAACTATTGAGTCACCGTGATTTACAACTTCCCACAATGCTCTGTCAGGTCGGAGTGTGGGGGGCCCTTGGGGTTGGGGACTCAAGCTTTGGGAGAAGAATTACCTATTTAAATATGTAAATTCAACCTTCAATTACTTTACAAAGAGCTAATAACGCCTCCACTGAGGCTCGAACTCACAACCTTCTAAATGGAAGTCCAACCCGGATACCATTGGACCACATAGTCCTGGTCAACCTTCAATTATCTATGCATGAACAATTTCAATATTATCTTGCCTTAATATATTTTAAAGTACTTATTTTTTAAAAAAAACATTGGGCATTATCTCAATCGCGCAATGCGCGTAAAAAACTAGTATATATAGGGTTGTATTCAAATACAAACCCCCTTAAAATACAAATTCCTCTTAAAATACAAACTTGAGCTCGTGCACACATTAACATACTTACATGCACACAGCGCGTAGGACGAAAAAATCACAACCATCCATCAAAGCTCGTGCACACATTAACATACTTACATGCACACAGTTTGTACTTTAAGGGGGGGGGGGGGGGGGGGTTGTATTTGAAAATAATCCTATATATATATTAAGGATCAGATGAGGACTCATTCTTAGGTGAGGACGTGAGGACTAATCTTGTGCGTTCGTTTTTTTTTTTTTTTTTTCGATGGCCTAGATTTGATTTCCAACTATGACATGGATTGATGTTTTTTGTTAAAGTTGGGTAGTTTTGTTTTTTTGTTTTTTTGTTTTTTTTTTTTTTTGTTTTTGTTTTTTTTTTTTTTTTTTTTTAAGTGTGAAGGCATGTGTAATCCTTGCCTTAATTGATTTTTTTTTTTTTTTTGGATCACCACCGTTGCGATTTAGAGCCGCGATTTTTTCATCATTGATTGAGTGTTCGCCCTTGCAATGTAATCGGTATTTTTTATTTTTTTCGCTCGTTCTTTTGAATATAATATTGTCTATATTTGGATGGTCGTGTATATGTACAAATGCCTGAATAGTACGATTGTGCATTTGTGTGTGCTGGTTGTGCAACCTAGTGTTGTAAGTTGTGCACCGTAGACTGGTGAGTTGTGCATTAGTGCACATAGTTCAGTGCATCGTAGGATATTGAGATGTCAACTGTAGGATTTTTAGGTGGTGTTTGAATGCACAACTATAGACTTATCGATGCATAATACTCTGTATAGGGATGCACAATACTCTGTATAGTAATGCATAGATTCTAATAAGACTAATTTTCCCATAAATTTATATTTTTTAATATTTTAAAGAGGTTTGTTTCCTCAATCTGTGTGATTTGTTCGTTTTAATCTCAGCTATTATTACACGTTCATACATCTGTAATAGCGTTACACGTTCAATTAATACAATATCAGTCCCCGTAGCTATATTCGTACCGATATTCATACCCCTATTATCGTTTTAATCACATATTCGTTACATTTATTTATCTATTCAGGTTAATTAATCCGGACCCCCGATTTAATTAATTCCATCATTGGCTCTCTTGTTGAGAGCGGCTGTACAAGCTCGAGCGTGCTCTCTACTTTTGGTCTAACATTACTACCACGATCAACTATTTTCCAATCGCAAAACATGGATCAAATCACCTTGTCCAAGAAATTGATCTTGTCATTGTCGGTCCGTTTCTCGCACTCCAGCGCAATGCGCACAATCCATGCCTATATTCTTCCGTAGCGTTTGAGTTGCATGGCCATTTTCCACTACCAGCTGTTGTTAGATTTTCCACCATGCAAGATATTTCAATTCAAACTTGATGAGGCATCACCACGGTGATCAACGGCTTGCAAGACTCACAGAATTATGAGGGGCAATATTTAATTTGCACTTGTATTATCAATTCTTATCGTATCATGCA